GCCTATAAAACCCGATAACCACCATTTTCGTAGGAAACCATGCAGGTTGTAGTGATTAATGAGTGGGGCTACATAAGCTACTGTTGTCGAATTAAGTACGAAAATTAACCTACCTCGTCCGTCACAGTCTTTTTGGTTTTTTCTTTTATTCGTTCTGCGCCCGCATCGTATGCCTGAATAACATTTACTTGCATCTTTTCAGAGCATTTTGGAGAAAAAAACCACACGACAGAAGGTCATGGATAACAGACTCCGACTGGGACAGTTTGTGACCCAACGCCAGGGAGCTCATTTTGAGGAGAAGTGGATTGAGGGATATCGTTTTAAGGAGCTGGACGCGTGAGTCACCCGCCCCGCTTTTTTTCTCAAATCGTCTTTTTTTGTCCCTCCTTCAACTGCCCCTCATTTGGCTAATGCCCTCTCTCCTCTGTCTTCTGGCTTTAGGCGTCGGAAAAACATTGAGGCCATCCGTGAGGAGATTGAACGTAAACGCAAACAGTGGAACAAACGGAAACCGGGTGTCGATGGAAAAAAGAACAAGTCTCGGTGGGAGGAGTAAGTTGTCATTCCCTGTTAGGTCTCTCTCGTGCTCTCCCCTCTCGCGCCCACATTTTTCAAAATTAGGCTTGCCGTCAGCGCATCCGAGGCTAGCGCTAAAACGCCCAAAGTTCTGGGACTAGGTTGAGATTGACAGGTTGAAAGCCTCTGGTAGGGAGCAGCGACAGAGAACTGTTGATAATTCCGATTAGATTTTATCTGCTTGGTTTCTACCAAGTATAGGATGCATCATGACTTTTCACTTGACACTTGTGTCGTTCAAACTCTGTTTACTGTATATCGTTGTTAGCAAACGTCGCTGTGCGCTTCCTTGCTGTATGTCTGCTCAACCCCCTTGGGTCACCGCTTATACGTCTGCGTTTCGCCCGCACACTTGCTAGACGAAAGTCGATACTTTCCGTCTTGACGTCCTTGACATTTACTATTATTTTCGCTCCTGCCTCTTCTGTGATCGGATTGCAGAATTACGCTCATCCCACTTTGCCTTAGCGAACCGATTGAAAACCCTCGTAGGCTTTCTCATGACGAAGTAGACTTGAGATACTCAGACAGAAACTGTGATTGTACTTCCTGGCTAATTTAACGTTATTAAATAAGTATATCCACGACGCGGACAGATTGTGGACTTGAACCCAATCTATTTTGTAATTTATCACTACGTAAAAACTGATTGGCCACTACGAATAGGTCAAAAATGGCCATTCCAGTCTTTGTCCTCATCGAAGGTCACGACATGTCGGCACTCGATAGCCGCTTGGTGCGACGCCTGACGCCATCGTTTTCGAAGCGCGGTATCAGAGCTGCTTTTATTTGTTTAACAGCAATTTTTTAAACTTACATTTGGAGTACTCATAAATCTATGGCAGCACTAACTTTAATTGTGAACCCGATTTCTGTAAGATAAACTTGTGACCTATCTAACTCACGTCGTCTTCTCACACCTGACGCATCTCAATCCCCCATTTAGTTAAAGATGACTGAATCTGAGCATGGTTGCATTAAACAACCTGACGCAAGACCCAGTGCATACGCGCCGGTCATTCAGACAGCAAAAACGGTACTTCCCATACAACCCTCTAAAGACTCAGTCTTAGAGGGTTATAGCAATAGAGGTTTCGGATACGTTTCCACGTGCTTTGTAGGGCCTTCAGATGAGAAATTCCGGTGACAATTAACGGCACAGTCTTTTTAACTATGCATTACTATGTTTTGTCTTCAGGAATCCTCTTATTTGTTATTGGTGATATTCATATTTACTTGGATAGATATTAAATCAGTCAAGGCCTTTTTACAATTAGTTAGTTGTATATCAGGAGTATTTTCTTCTCCATGTTTTAGGATTAGCAGGTTACCGTAGAGATCGCTATCGAGCAAAAAGTAACTAAATGTTCCAACCAATCCGTTGCATTACATATCAACGTTATGAATATCATATACGGAAAATTTTAATAAATTGACACGGTAAACAATTACTGCTATTAGTAGATGAATTTTGCCCACCTTACTATAGACCATATGAAGTGCTTGAATCTGTAATGACGCACAAAACGACGTGGTTTAACAGGTTGCCAACTGGTCCTAGCACTGAGCCAGTCCCAATGACTCCTTCTTTATGTGGCCCTGATTACGCTCCCGCAGATGTAAGATCCGAGCACTCTCCCCTCTTTCTGTGAATTCCTGATACATGCTGTACAGACCAGGTCGTCAGTGGTACATGTCGATAAATTATTTCAGTTGGCCCATGCATTTGGGCCCACCTTTGGTCGTCCTGACACTGTCTTATCACCGAAGCCAGGTAGTTGGATGAGCTAAAGGAACAGGCGCTGAGCAAGTCTGTCTCACTACGAACTAATCTGCGCCCGATCCACTGTTCCGCAATCCCCCCGTTGGGCACACAGTGGATATCTTCACATGCTCACCTTCTGACGCTATTTGCATTTTCTTATTTGTCCACGTCTAGGGTCTCCGTCGACGAGTTCTACGAGCAGGTGGAAATCTTTGATCTGCGTAAACAAATGCTCGTGAAGGAAGACAAGGAGATTCAGGGCGAACTTGAGCGGCTCGATCGTGAACGCAATCTACACATTCGCGAGATAAAACGGATTGCTAACGAGGATGCCTCCCGATTTAAGGATCACCCGCTACTCAATGATCGCTACTTGCTGCTCAGCCTACTGGGCAAAGGTGGTTTCTCAGAGGTTCACAAGGTAAGCACCGAAGGGAAATTCCGTCTTGATTATTCATTTTATTTCAGTCCTGTTGACCACATACCTACAGCTTTTGTCCCGTTTGTTCAGTAGTGGTTGGTAAAATTCGCACTTTTTGTAGTTCATCCATTTTAAGTGTTATTGAATGCCTTCGTAAGACGCAAGTAATGCGCATTTGCGAAATTCGGACAAAAAGGC